GCTATAATGAAGCACCTGGTGAAATGATCGATTTACAGAAATTAAAACATTATATGTTGAAAGTAGTAATTTAGTACAAAGACAAACATAGTTAATTAAAGTTAAAAGTAAAACTTTTTAATTCTTCAGAAAACTCTAAAATTTTAGTGAGGCATTTGCCTCACTTGCATCGATGGTAGTTACAGCCTTGCCGAAGGACAAGATAGGCTAAGACCCCTTTTTGGCCCCTAGTTTTGGGTGTCTTTTAGAATGATGCAACAGTTTATCAATAAAAACCTTTTGTCACCCAAGCCACAAAATGAGTATTGGTTCTAAGTTATGGGATACACATAGGTCACTGGAAGGTCAGAAAATGTGTCATTTTCCGGATTTTCTCATTTTTATGCAATTTTTCATCGATTTTACAGCACATTTTGTTTCAGAAAACATAGAGCACAAGCTTGCCTCTCTACCAAATTTATAAATTTCATGCACTTGCATCAGATGCTTCTCATACGCTAGTATCAGCTGCATCTTGTGTATAAAAATCTCAGATAGGCAAGCTTGTGCTCTATGTTTCCCGAAGTGAAAAGTATCTCAAATTTGACGAAGTTCCACCAGAATTGAGGAAATTTGGGAAAATGTCCTACTTCAGCACCCTCTTTGTGGCCTCCGTGTAAGCTTTGAATCAAAATTAGTGCTGTTTTTAAAAAAAAGCATCGTTTTAAGTTCTTAACTACAAACTATCACAGTTTTAACTGTGTTCTGATTTTTACATCAAATAAGGGGCCAGATTCGGCCGCTACCAGATCTCCTTTGGCGTGAAGGTTCCTTGTCTATAGTACCCGAATAGGAAATATCGTTGGCCAATTTAAAAATGGCCGCCATGATTTTCAAAATTGCATTTAATAACTATCAGGGGTATGTTGGCAAAGTCTTGATCGTATTACTAGTACTCTCTAACCGAAGGGTGACTGAATTCCTCTTGCACTTTTGTAAAAGGTTGTCTTGTTACCCAGCCGACATTTTTCGGGATCGAGTTGGTGATAAGGGACAACCTTGTTTAACTATTTTTTTTTCAATGAATGATTCTCTCAGTCAGAGTTTTCTTGTCAATTATTTGCACTTTTGACTTCCTACAATGTACCGTCACGGTAGCTCAGTTGGTAGAGCGCTCGCTCCGTGATCGGAAGGTCGTGGGTTTAAACCCCAGCCACGTCTGAGTTAAGTCGATAATAAAGGTACATGTAGCAACTATTTATCCGCCAAGGCTCGGAACTTTGAATGAAAGTTTTGGGTGAGACCTTAAAGAACTAGGCCCCGTATCACTTACCGCGTTTGCAGGATAAAGATCCCTCACTACTCAATGACCCTGAGTGCCGAGTAATGGTCTATATTTGAAGCCCTTCACCGGTATTTGGTGACCTCTCTATATGAGTGAAAAATTCTCAAACGGGAAGTAAAACAACATACTAGTATATGTATACAATCAATCAATCGTACAATGTTGTTATCACGTTGTGATCTTAACTGGGATTCCATAATATCTTAGTACTTTCCATAAAACTTTCTGTAATGGATAAATAACGAGATGGTGTTGAATAGTTTAGAGAAAACATTCCCTCCGAGGGCCGAAGACTTTATCTTAATTAAAAAACTTCTCCACTTTGGACCCCAAAGAAACATTTACCCATTCATATATCCAACTTTGCTGTAATACAATGAGATCTAGCCCATTCAGATATACAACAGGGACACAACACAATAGCCTAATCGAACACCGCCTTATTCATGGACTAGTGAGCATAAAACTGCGTGGTGCTAATGTCATTTCAAACCTTTCCATTGTCTGAACAGTCATGAAATCAGATGAAGAACAGTTTTAAATCTTTAGAGAGGTTCAGATAGTGTTTTGAATACTTTTGACAGAAGAAAACTACAGAATTTTGATAAAAGGTTGGAAATCTGTCATTACATATAAGATGAAGATTTGTTGAGGAAAAGTGTTGGAATCTTATGGAGTTCATTCGTACAATACTTCTAGTAGTGCTAAAACAGATGAAAAGATTGTCGGTGTTATGCGGAACCTGCTTTAAAAATATTCCATATCAAGATCTGCAGTAAAAAAGGTGACAAAAATAGATGGGCTGTCAGTTTATTAAATTGTTTTGAGAAGTACGCTGGAAAAGTATGAGAACAGAGATGAACCTCAAAAAATCTAAGAAGATTTGCTGATAACGGAGCAATAGAAAGTGGTGTGGATTAAGCTTCAAGGTGAAAATGTACTTATAAGTCAAAAAGTGATGCTTTCAAAATTTAAGACCGGAAACATTCTGTTCAAATACCATCGGATAATTATTGGATATTTTATTGACGACAAGAGTCTACTAGTGTGCAAAATTCGGAGGAATTGTAATTTTTGTGAGCATTGGAAATACATTTTTAACACGATTCTAATGGTGTGAAAAATGCGAAGTGATTTGAACACAAATTCTAATAGTGTGACAAATTCGGAGAAATTATTTTTTTTGGTGCATTGGAAATACATTTTAATCTCTTTTATCTCTTTTGTTCATTGCTTAATTATGTTTGTATGCACAGTTGGATATTTAAACATCCAACCGATAGGCAGTTGGATGTTTGAATATCTAACTGATGGCCAGTTGGATCTTTAAATATCCAACTAGTGATGGTTGAATCGGTAAAATATACGTAGACTAATAAGAATGGGTGACGTCATTGAAGTTTTTTAATTATGCTTTTTGAAAATCGTTGAAGTTGATGTAAAGTGATTATTGCCATTCTACATATTGTTCTTAAAAGAATGCGTAGTGTAGCTTTTTGGTCTGTGTAGATTCTCATCGATCTAAACCTGGTTCGTTCGTCTCTTTATACTTTTCTATTGTCTCTTTTATTCTATTCCAAATAACACTGTTTAGAATCTTGACAAAAAAGTAAAATGATGCCTCTCCATTTCTTGCAGAGAATAAGATCTTTTTTCCTTGATATACATGTATGTACTTTGACAATCAGTCCCTTCTTCCATTAAGTCGGGATTCTTCCTGCTTCTCATAGTTTGTTTAACAATCTATACATATTTCCCCCTTTTTTCTTGTCCTCCAGTTCTCAATTCCTCAGTTAATATTTCGTCAATTCTTGCTGTTTTTCACATTAAAAAGATTTACCATTAGAAGCTGTTGTCACTTTCTTCTTACTTCTTCCATCTGTTTTTTTATATTCATGTCTTTCCTTAGGTAAATTGTTATTTTGTCCATCTATTTAGTCATTCCGCTAGATCTAACTTTACCAACATTTTCTTTTTCACTGAGTTTTACCAGCTCTTCTATTTCTCTGAGTTTTTGTGATGTTTTTTAAGTCTTGAAATCTCCTATATATGGTGCCTGCTGGTTTCCTAGGCAGGCTCATTTATAAAGTATCTTTCTTGCCTGTAGTTATGATCGACCTCTTTGTCTAGCTCCTGATATTTAGTTTGGAGCTTACGTCTTTGCAATCTTGTTTTTGCATACTTGAATTCCTTTTTTCCATAGCTTCCTGCCAATATTTAATTGCATCAATTTTTTCATTTTATTTAATATCTTTTTTGCTATTATTTCTTCACTTGTGTTTTTGAAAATGCCCTTGCCTGTATCCCATTCTTTATCAAGGTGTTCTGTACGTGTGTCTAGACTTTGAATTCGATTCTTTAGTTGGAATTTTTCTGCGATTCGTGTCTGTCAGTTTTTCAACATTGTACTCAATGCGCTTATGCACCCCTCGTTCTGAATTTGCTAGTCTTATTTTCAATTTGTCAAGTAGTAGATGGTGGTCAGAGTTTACCTCGTTTTACTTCCAGTTCGTATTTAGATTAATTTTAACAAAATTTTTCAAGATATTTCAAACTTTAAATGCTTATACATATTGATGAGAGCTATTCAAGTGCATCAACATTTTATACCTTGATCGTTCTTTCGACCTTGACTTAAAATTTGCCTTTAGCTTATGTTTATACATATGATGAGAGCTATTCAGTAGCATAAACTTTTTTGATTATCACATTTCATATGCTGATACATATTGAAGAGAGCTATTCAACTTCATCGTTGGAACCTTGACCTTTCCTTTGACCTTGACCTCACTTTTTTCATATTTGTGTTTAGGTCAGTTTCAAAGAAAATCCAAGACATTTTTTATGTAAGCTTATGCACTAATACATTATTTGGTGAGAATTTATCAACTGTGTCCATTTTTTTTTTTTACCTGACCTTCCGAATGATCTTTGACTCTACTATTTATTGTTTACAAAACTCAGATTTTTAGAAACAATTCAAGATATTTTCATCAAACTTCATACACTAATACAAATTTTCATATTGCATTAAAAATGAACTCCAGGCGGAGTATCTTATGGACATATTTCTAGTTTTTAAAAATCCATTTGGGGACTCCCATGTTCTTCTTTATAGATATTCATATATGGGAATATGAAGCCCCCGTTAACAACTGCATTTGTTTCACGAAATTCAGCAAGAAGTTTTCTATTTATATGCACGTCCCCAGATGCATTATGCAGATGCAACATGCCTTCAAATTGCTTTCTCTCTGTCAGCTGTCTTTGCATTCATGTCATACTTTAAGGTCTTAATGACGTTTTGGATTTTTTCCTTACCATCGTAGTGCACGCAAATTACGTTTGACTGATTTATAATTTAGAAACGATAATTATATTAAGGAATAGAATTGCGTTATAAAACACAACTCTGCTTTCATTTTTTAAAATATGATGTTTAAAATGTCTTGTACAAAGCTTAGTTGCAACCATAGTATATCACAAAATGACCAAAATAATTTATGATAAATATTACAGTAAATCGGTCGTATGTGAGTCCAAGTAGTATAGAAATGTCGCCATTTTGTTTCAGACGCAGCTATTTTGAAAATGGCGGAAATTGCGACTTATCAGAAACTTAAATGCCAGCAAAAATATAATTATGTATCTATTTCTGTCAGTTTGGGACCGTGATATGTTACGGACAGTATGGTGGCTGGCCTTATCGGGCCTTGTGATGAAAGGAGGGTCCACTCATCGTATAGTCATCAACACCTGGCCCGTCACAAACTCAACGATGGCAGGTAAGAAAAATTAGTTCAATATCAGCTTAATTATTCTTCTGTATGTAAATTGTGGTCACATGAAAACAAAAAGCGCAAACATTTACACTGTATATCGAAAATTTAGTTCCGGCATTTTTCTGTCCCCCTCCTCCAATGCAAGTTATTTTTCTATAGAATATTTTACATGTTGATATTTAACTTTTAACTACTAGTATATTGACATACAACTTAAACAGTAAGTCAACATTCAACATAACTATGATGATGCTGGTGTAAGAATTTTTTTGCATAACACACCTTTTGGTGAAAAAGTAATATTTTTTGTAAAATTTGAAATTTGCCAATGCATATTCTTACAGCATGGACAACATTACTGAACAACGGAAGTGCTGTTGATGCTGTTGTTAGCGGATGTAGTCAGTGCGAGGCACAGCAATGCCGGGGTACCGTAGGTGCAAACGGAAGTCCAGATGAAGATGGCGAAACCACGCTTGATGCTATGATAATGGACGGGTGAGAATAGCCTTCAGATTTGCTTCCACACTACCTTAACTACATGTACTATGTGCAGAGTCTTTTTTGAAAAAAGTTAAGTGATTTTCTCTTCTGCATTAAGCCTGTATCAAAATATGGATTGTTATTAGTTTATTCAGAATTTGAAACTTTAAGGATAAATAACACTAAATTTTTTTCTTCCAAAATTCACATACGTTTACTTAAATAGGTAGGCGCCTTTCCCACTAAAAATTTTTTTTTATATATATATACAAGTAAAATTCCATTGAATGAAATATTGAAAAAATAGCAATATATTTCTTCAGTGTGGGAAGTGCGATAATTTGTTTGCTGTATGTCTCTTTAGGGATATCCGCAGTCAGGAAAGATAACTCTTTAGATGTTATTTAAGGGGGGCCGACCCTCTGATAAGAAAGATAACTTTCCAGGTAAAAAAAAAACCATTGTAAAAAAACCTAAGGCTTATGGACCTTTTTTTATTCACTCCTTACAATATACTTTAAGGATGACTATGGACGTGGGCGCTGTAGGTTGCTTACGAAGGGTGAAGACGGCCATAGCTGTGGCACGAGCAGTGATGGACCACACCACTCACACGCTTCTTGTAGGAGATTTGGGTACTTAGCAAGTGTTCAAATTCTTCTCGAGAGACTGCCACTTTGGTATTCCTTTTGAAAATCAATCTTCATGTATTACTTTCAGCGACAAAGTTTGCTTTGGAGATGGGATTTTCAGAGAAAAACCTCACCGGGAACAGGTCTTTGAACATTTGGAAAGACTGGAAATCACACAACTGTCAACCAAATTTCAGAGAGGTGATAAGTGGGAGTAGAAAATGTCATTAAAAGTGTATCATGGTTATAGTAAACCATCCGGGACAGCCAAAATGACTTTATATCCGCAATGTTGGATAAAGCAAATTGATAAAATGATAATTCCTTTGTAATATTTGGCAATTCTGACTTCGTTTTCATTGTGTATTCAGGACAAACGTATAAAGCTGTACATTATTCTTTTCTAAATTTTTCATCGAAGAATGTTACACCAGATCCAAAACACAGTTGTGGGCCTTACCAACCCAAAACACAAACAATAGAAGACCTCCAGGAACCGTTATTTACGGGGAATTATATAGAAAGTGACCCCGACCCAGGATATGACGTAGATAATCACGACACAATAGGCATGATTGTAATTGACCAATCAGGAAGCATCAGCGCCGGTACCTCAACAAATGGTCTTACACATAAAGTCCCAGGGCAAGTCTTTTTCTCGTATAGCCACTCCCGTATACTAAATTGTAACATTTTAAATACATGTATAACAATATAACTTTTTTTTCTAGACGTGTTGGGGATTCCCCGATAATGGGGGCGGGATCTTACGCGATGAATGGTGCAGGAGGAGCAGCTGCGACCGGTAATGGCGACATCATGATGCGATTCCTTCCGTCGTATGTAATAACTGATATAATTCATTTCATACTTAGATATATTTTAAGAACTTTATATTTATGTAAGACACCTCATCGTATCAGCCTCTTCTGTATGGACTAAATTTGAATGAATTATTCATCAAGGAATATAATGTCTCCTATATTTTCTGGATGGGTGAATTTGGGGCAGATCCAATTCTTAAAGTACTATAAGCCCAAAATAAGACAAATATGGGTGGATGCGTGGCTGATATATCTGCGGATACATGCTACAAGATCTACCCAAGATATGGCATCTTGCCCACAAAATGTTTACTTTCCAGATAATTGACCAAATACAAGTCTATGGAGCAAGTCCGTCCTTTAAAAATATAAAAGCCCTGTACCTAGACAAAACCTCATCGAAGGTGCATTCAGAGATGCAGATACTTTTGCTTCAATGATGTTGGTGATAAATTTTCTAGGTAATTGGTTGATGTTCCACGTACCTTGCGAGAATTTTTCACTTTACTGGATGTCACCATAAACCGGTGAAGGGCTTCAAATTTAGACTTTTATTCGACACTCAGGGTCATTGAGCATTGAGAGATCAACGCCTACCTTGACAGGGGGCCTCGGTTTTTAGCTCACCTGAGCCGAAGGCTCAAGTGAGCTTTTCTGATCGAAATTTTCCGTTGTCTGTCGTCGTCTTTGGCGTTGTTGTCGTTGTCATAAACTTTTCACATTTTCATCTTCTTCTCCAGAACTACTGGGCCAATTTCAAACAAACTTGGCACAAAGTATCCTTGGGTAAAGGGGATTCAAGTTTGTTCAAATGAAGGGCCACGTCCTCCTCCAAGGGGAGATAATTACGAAATAGCAAAAAATTATTGGCATTATTGAAAAGTCTTCTCCTCAAGAACCAATGGGCCAGGAAAGATGAAACATGTGCAATTATTGTCAGGTAGTGTAGATTCAAATTTATTCAAATCATGACCCCCAGGGGCAGGGTAGGGCCACAATGGACGATCAAAGTATAACATAGGTGTATATATAGGAAAAATCTTCAAAAATCTTTTTCTCAAGAACAGCAAAGCAGTGATTGGTAATATTTACGTGGAAGCATCCTCAGGTGGTGTGGGTTCAAGTTTGTTCAAATCATGGACCCAGGGCTAGGGTGGGGCCACAATGGACAATCAAAGTTTTACATAGGAATATATAGGAAAAATCTTCAAAAACCCTCTTCTCAAGAACAGCAAAGCTATGATTGGTCATATTTATGTGGAAGCATCCTCAGGTGGTGTAGATTCAAGCTTGTTTAAATCATGCCCCCCGGGGCTAGGGTGGGGCCACAATGAACGATCAAAGTTTTACATAGGAATATATAGGAAAAATCTTTAAAAATCTTCTGAAGAACAGCAAAACCACTGTTTGTCATATTTATATGGAAGCATCCTCAGATAGTGTAGATTCAAGTTTGTTCAAATCATGACCTCCAGGGGTAGGGTGGGGCCACAATGAAAGTTCAAACTTGTAGAGAAAAATGCCAGTCAAAAATTATGTTGGCATCATTAGCAAGTGTAGATTTAATTTTGTTCAAGTCATACCCCCACTCCCTTTTCGTGGTAGGTTGGGACCACTTATGCATTTAAACTTTTCAATACTCAACTGATTTTTTTCTTTTTTCCTGGCCACAGTGCTCAGGTGAGCGATGTGGCCCCTGGGCCTCTTGTTAAGGTCTCATCTGAAAGACCCGCAACTTTCACTACAAAGTGCTGAGCGCTTGGCGAAGGAACAGTTGTTTCCTTTTTTTATCGACCTAGGTTTGTCGCGGCTGGTGTTGAACCCAACTGTCCGATCACGGATAGAGGAGAAGATCTATTATGAGGGCTTTAAAAAAAAAAAAAAAAAACAAACAAAAAAAAAAAAAAAAAAAAAACAGCGCATCTTAGAAACATTGATTTCTTATGAAACTTTGCCATACCGACAATTTTAATTCGTAGGGGCGAGTTTTGTAATTTTAATAACCTTTTTTCATACATAGTTATAATGCAGTGATTCAAATGCAAAATGGAGTGGATCCAGTAACTGCACTGCAGAAATCAATGGCACCGATAATTAAATTTTACCCATCATTCCGAGGGGCGATGATTGCAGTCAATAAGGATGGAAAATATGGTATTTGATTTTGAAATTACAAATACTGTATTTCCAAATACGATATAACTAAGAATTTTGCAAAATTTGAATTTCTTTTCAGGCGCTGTGTGCCATGGTTACACTAACTGGACATTCTGTGTGGCAGACGACACTACACCGGAAGTTCAACTACACCATATAGACTGTAAAAACAGTATGAAAGATGTAAACTCTGCGAATACTCGCAATCTTCCAACAGTTTTTGTCCTCATCATACTGTATTGTATTTTTCTCTTAATCTAGAAATATTGCTGCTAAATGAGTGACTGTAAATATATTCATTTATCTCGCATGCTTACCCTTTTTATCCCATTATATAGTGTATGTGGATATTTGGGTCATGGGGTGTTGTTTTTTGTATTTCACAATCTATATCTCGACGACTTATGATATATAAACAAGTACATATTTGTGAATTTGTAAACATAAATGATCAAGTAGAATATTCGAAATAATTTTATGAATGAACTAGCATGCAAACAGATCTTCCTTTTTTAATATAATAAACATTTAATCCTCAACAATGAAACACGTAGACCACTTATGACTTCATTGTTAAATTACGTCGATTGTTTCTCTACTCTTCACTAAAATATTAACAGCAATGAAGGAGAAATTTCAGGAGTACGTTCTACAATATATTCGAGAAGTGGTGTTAATCAGATGTGGATACTTCAGAACTCCATGGAACAAAAATCACAAAATTTTACCAAAATCAATGGCATCAAAACGTGCGACTTTTCAACACATAATACAACCATTCTTTACGATAAATTAAAGTCCAGGCTTTTTGACATCATAGCTGCTTTTTCATTAAAATGGAACTCTTAATTTATTTGCTTTGTCATTAGTAATTTGCAAAATTATTTTGTTAAAAATATTCTGATTGTTAACACAACTACACCGAAGATGATATTAAAAAGATGCTTTAGTTTTTGATTGACAATAACTATGTAGTTTTTGGATATCAAGTCTTACAACAATCTTTCGGAATTTCCAGGGTACTAATTGCGCTCCATTATTAGCAGACCTTTCTAGCTCACCTGAGCCGAAGGCTCAAGTGAGCTTTTCTGATCAAAATTTGTCCGTTGTCTGTCGTTGGCGTTGTCGCCGTCGGCGTTGTCGTAAACTTTTCACATTTTCATCTTCTTCTCAAGAACCACGGGGCCAATTTCAACTAAACTTGCCACAAAGTATTCTTGGGTAAAGGGGTTTCAAATTTGTTCAAATGAAGGGGCACGCCTTCTTTCAAGGGGAGATAATTATGAATTTGTGAAAAATTAATGAAATCATATAAAAATCTTCTTCTCAATAACCACTGTGCTTGGAAATATGAAACTTATGTTGAATCATTGTGAGGTAGTGAAGATTCAAGTTTGTTCAAATCATGACCCCCGGGGGTAGGGTGGGGCCACAATGGGGGATCAAAGTTTTACATAGGAATATATAGGCAAAATCTTAAAAAAATCTTCTCAAGAACAAAGCCATAATTAGTCATATTGATATGGAATCATCCTCTGGTAGTGTAGATTCAAGTTTGTTCAAATCATGACCCCGGGTGAAGGGTGGGGCCACAATGGGGGATCGAAGTTTTACATAGAAATATATAGGAAAAATCTTTAAAAATCTTCTTCTCAAGAACAACAGAACTACAATTAGTCATATTGATATGGAATCATCCTCAGGTAGTGTAGATTCAAGTTTGTTCAAATCATGACCCCCGGGTTAGGGTGGGTCCACAATGGGGGATCAGAGTTTGACACAGGAATATATTGGCAAAATCTTTAAAAATCTTTTCAAGAACAGGAAAGCCATGATTAGTCATATTGATATGGAAGATTCAAATTTGTTCAAGGCATCCTCCAGTAGTGGGGGGGGGGGGATTTTACAAAAAGGATATATAGGAAATATCTTTGAAAATCTTCTTCTCAAGAACAACAAAGCCATGATTAGTCATATTGATACGGAAGCATTCTCAGGTAGTGTAGATTCAAGTTATTTCAAATCATGACCCCCCTCCCTCCCAGGGTAAGGTGGCAGGCATCTTTAAAATTCCGTTTACAAGACTAGCAAAGCCATGTTTAGTTTTTTTTTTATAAATACAGAAGCATCCTTAAAAAGTTAAGATTCAGTTTCACTCAAAACATGGCACCTGAGGGTAGGGTAAGCCTAGAACAGATGATGAAAGCTTTACATATGAATAAATAGGAGAAGAAATCAGCAGGGCCATATTGACTCAGGTGAGCGTTGTGGCCATGGGCCTCTTGTTTGTATTCATACGAACCAGAATTTATTCAAAAACTTCTGCATGAAAGAAGTCTCTTGCTGTGGCATTCAATTCGACAATTAGATATATCGACGACGTTTTATCAATTCAGAATATTAATTTTCATTCCTATATTGCTTCGTTATATCCCTTTGAACTCGAAATAAAAGACACCACAGAGCCTGATATATCTGTTTCATATTTGGATATTTTACCAGAAAAAGACGTTAATGGTAACCTAATAAAAATCCTGTGTGATAAACGTGACGACCTTTATTTTCTATCTTCACATTCCCTCATTTCTGTAGCAATATACTCTTATCACCTGCAAATGGAGTTTAAGTCTGCTAGTTGGTTTGATACGCAAGAGCATGCTCTACGTACGTTCAAACAATTTCTAAAACGGGACAAGCTATAGATAAATAAGTTTATGATACAAGGATATCAATAGTACAGTTTAAAGTCAACATCTTTCAAATTCTATGGTCGGTACAATGACCATGTCAGCAAATACAGACTATTGTTAAGTTGAATGTCAACTGACGTTTTTCATACAAATTGTTAGGTCATTGTTTTCACACTGAATTAACTACGAGTTTTTACGTTTGCCCAATCATGACAAGGAGCGCACGACAGGTGTGACCGGTCGAAGGGGATTCTTACTCCTCCATGGCACTTGATTCCACCTCTGATGTTTTAAGAGATCCCTGTTTGCTCTGCTTCCAATTTGTATTGTTTCAGGGAGTTTGATTGATGTTAGCAATCTTCATATTTCATGACTTAACAAAGAATTTATGGTATTATCGAACCTGTTTTTTATGCAGGCTAAAATACGCCTTGTTAAAATAAAGTAATATAAGAAGAAGCATTTGGAAATGCAAATATTTCATTAATCAAGCATATCGCTAATTTATTCAAAGAAGTGATACATTTATTTTACGCAGTAAAAAATGGAAGAAAACTAGAAAAGACACCAAAAAGACAGTTGTTACTAAGAAAGACTCAAATAGGGTTGATGAGGGCTAGTCACAGCTACCTTGAGGAATCATCCAATGTACCAAGTACAATAACTTAGAAGAACAGTATCCTCATAGCCTCCGTGAGGGAGAAAGGATGAAAGTCTCAACAGGACAGTTACATCGGTAATGACCAACTTTGTACAAAGGACGTTGACTAGCAAAGATGTTGATGAAACTAGACGTGCAAGAACTCAAGTGGTTTGCGAATTCACCAAGCCAAAACAGGATGTCGACCTCAGGCCACTCAGCATCAGCGCACGGTTCTTTCCAGCTGAAGAGAATCAGGATATTCACAATCAGGATACACATCACAGTGCTGAGGACCTCTACGCGCCGGAACAGGCACAGAAAGAGACCATGACTTAAATGGAGGAGGCAACTTATGTATCAGTAACTTTCCCTAACAACAATACTATAGTTTACTAACGTATCAAATTTTTTTTACTATAGTAAATCAGGTATTTTAACATTGGATTTCACATTGTTATATGTTTTGTTCTTGAATTCATACATACACATTTCTGAGATTAAATGGAAATATTATTTGTATATTCACATATTTTTCCCCCCAAATTTTACATATCTGTTATCGAATTTAAGAGATTAAGCTTTGAAATCTCAAAAAAAGTTCCATAGTTAATCAAAGTATCAAAATTTTCACTATAATTAACTATAGTAAATTATAGTTAACTATAGTAAATTTTTGTTAGGGCATGAACGATAATCAGAAACGGAACGAGATTGATGACTATCTGGACTACAATCACTAGTTCCTAAACTGTGCCCTGCAAGGAGACACAGAGAAGTCGCATTTTCTTTGGCGTATGAGCGCTTTTGGTTTAGAGAAATGGAAGAAGTTCCACCAAAACAGAACAGAAGACAAAGGGAAATAAGCTAAATAATGCAGGAACATAGGGCCTTGAGGAAACAGCACAAAGAAGCAATCACAGAGGAAAGAGAAAGACTGGAACAAATTAGAGAAACCTTAAGATCTCGCTTGGAATATCCTCAGATTGCAGAAAAACCAAGGACTAAGCAAAAACAACGGCTAAGAAAAGAGCAACCTTCGTACAAGGTCGATACGATATATCCTGGTGAACTTGAGATAAAAGATACCACAGAGTCTGACACATCTGTTTCATATTTGGATATTTTACTTGAAAAAGACGTAAATGGTAATCTAACAACCAAGCTTTATGATAAACGTGATGACTTTAACTTTTCAATCGTCAACTTCCCTTACTTATGCAGCAATATACCTTCATCACCTGCATAGGGGTTTATATCTCTCAGTTGATTCGATACGCAAGAGCATGCTCTACGTATGTACAATTTCTAAAACGAGGTAAATTATTGACAAATAAGTTGATGAAACAAGAATATCAGCTGTCTCGTTTAAAGTCATCATTTCGTAAGTTCTATGGTCGATACAATGACCTTGTCAGCAAATACAATTTATCATTGAGTCAAATGCTGACTGACGTTTTTCATACTAATTGTTAGGCCATTATTTACACACTGAATTGTCGACGTTATTTCCCGATCATGACAAGGAGCACACGGCGGGTGTGACCGGTCGGCAGGGGATGCTCACTCCTCCATGGCACCTGATCCCACCTCTGATGTTTGGAGGTCCGTGTTTGCTCTGCTCCTATTTTGTATTGTATAATGGACTTTTGAGCTTGAATACTGTTCGTTATCTCCATATATTTCAATCCATATAGGTTTAAAAAAAAGCAACTTTAGGTTGGGAAAAGTCTGAAGTTTTGAGACCAGAAAGTAAAAAAATAGAGTATCATTCAAATGATAGCCATTCAGATTCCATGAAAGACAATCTGCTAGGAGAGTGTTCAAGAGTAAAGAGTCAAAGAAGCAAAACCAGCAGCTTCACCCTTTTATTGCAAAGAACCAATTTGGAAAGAAGTCTTGGAAGTGGTAAGAAAAGCATGATCGCAATCAGCTCCAGGGCCCATTGCTATTCCATACAAAGTATATAAGAGGTGCCAAAAGCTACTGCAGCAATCCTGGAAGTTTTAAAAAGTAATACCCGTATGGAGAAAGGGAAACATCGTGGACAATCGGAAAAGAGCAGATAGGGTGATGGTACTAAAAGAGAAAGATTCCTTCAGGATCAACCAATTTAGAAACATTTCACTCCTGAGTGTAAAAGGGACGATCTTCTCTGCAGTATTGGCAAGGAG